GAATTCCCCCAACCCAAAGAAATATCAAAAGAATAGAGTGACAAGAACAGATTTTGCTATAATCTTAAGTATTCCACCAAGATAAATGTTTATGAAGAAGAATTAACATCAACTGTCCCTCTTTTCCTCTTAAAAGCTTGACTTTTTGCAAAGTGAAGCAGGTGTATGTAATATCCAGAGATAACAGATTTGTCCTAAAAGAGTTGGACAACACAACTGGGTAGCAAGGACAGCAGCACAGAAGAGGAGATCTGGAGCTGCAGGCATCGTTTCATTGAGACACCAAACGCTTACGGACTCACAGAGCCATGTAAACTGACATACTGATCTGCTACCTCAGTGCTGTTGTATTGAGAACTATAATTATTTTTTTATTTTTTCCATAATTAATCCCTTAATTAGAAGATTCAAAGTCTTGAATATCACCTACCATTTAGTGGTTCTTCTACAGCTTTCTGCAAAACATTTAAAAATATATATATGTATAAAAAGCCTTCATGTTTACTTTTGGCTCGCCACAGTTAAATTACTCTAATTGACATATACAGTAAGTAGTGATTCTACAAAAATGAAGAAAGCTGAACGTTAATAAAATTAATGACTACAGTTCTGAAAAAAAAAATAAATCAATCAATAACTGCATTCTCCAGATTATTTTTTTCCCCACTGTAAATTCTTCCTCAGACAAAACACCTCTAGGTGGCAGCAAAAGGCATGCAGATACTACTTTTAAGCTCTAAAACTCTAATTGATTATTTCTGTGATTTGATCAATGGTTAGTAATAAAGCAGCATGACTTAAAAAAAAAAAAAAAAAGAGTAGCCAAGCAATCAAGTGTAATCTCCTCAAAAGGAAATACACCACAGTTGTGCATTTAGTCTGGTAGACACAATCATCAGAAACAACACACACAATCTACAGAAATGTTAAAAAAAAATCAGTAATTGGTTAAGATGCAGATTTCAAAATACACACCTTTTCCCTCTCAGACTCAAGAAAATATCAAGCATCGTTTTGTTAGTGTGCCCCAGTGCCAAAATTAAGCACTTCATGGATACTAAGTTTTTTCCATAGTCTTTAGATTACACAGAATCAAAGTGTATTTTCAGAATTACTTCACAGCTATTTATTGCTTCATAGTACAGCAATATAGGACGAACAGTCCTTGATGGAAACCAGCAACCTATTAACACACTTAATTTTCCACTAGATCTTTCCATAACTTCCGTAAGTTCATGGGCACAAATTATCGTCACCTGAATTTCCGTGTCTGACCCTACACTAACTGCAGACCATCTAAAAATACAGTGGCTGAGATTTCCAATGACCTCTGAGTTTTTAAAATTTCTTCTGATTTCATTCCTGTCTCAAATTCAGAAAGTAATATGGTGTTCACTACTAATTGTGGCTATTTCTTTGTCAAATCCTTGCTACATTGCAAAACCACCTTGTGAAGCCAATAGCTCATAAAGAGAACAGAGTTACACAAAGAACGTTATTTAGCATGTTGGCTTCTATTTCAAAGCTTATTTACAACCAAAAACTAAGTCAAATAAAAAATTAAAACCTCCTCTTGCCCTATTTGTCTCTATCCTGCAAGTAAACATGAGCATGTTAGATAAAGGCAAGATGGTATCTTGAAAGAAACCTATCTGTAATACACTTCTCAGCTCATTTTTATCAGATTATAAACTTGTGAATCCCCTCTTTTTCTTTTTTTTTTTTTAAACTCCGTGCACTTACATTCCTTCCATTAGTAAGAGACCAATCCTCTGAAATACTATTCCTTAAAATGAAAATGGATGAGAAAAAGCAAAGGAGAATAAAATTTCTTTGAAAAATATCTCTGTTGTCCTAACTGCAGTCAGCTATCCTGCCCCACTGTCAGAAAACATCTTTCTCCAAAAGCTGAGTTGCAGGCTGTAGACTGAAAAGGAGACCTGGAAACATGTCTCAAATGAATGCTGCCAGACAAGAAATTAGATGACTTAGTATTTGCCACGCTTCCCTGCTACAAAGAAATTTTACTGGTATTTGACAGTTGTGCTTCTTTACTTGCTTCTGCAGAACTCCAGAAATCAGGAAGTTCACATTCACGGATCACTAGAAAGCACTGCGTAAGTCTACAAAAATCACTGGTTTAGGAATGATTACTCTGGAGTTCAAAAAAACTAACTGGAAAACCTTCTTTAAAAAAAAAACAAAACAAAACAAAGTGCTTTTACATTTGTTCTGTGTGACCTAAAGACAGACACTATGCTTATAGATGGTCTCATCAAATTAGAAGGCATTATCAGAAAAGAAGAAAAGATCAAGGCTATAGCACTCATATAGCTGGGAATTCAAGAGAATATTAAAGGCTTCTGGTGTAAAAGACTACAAAAAAACTAAAACCACTTAACTCTTTGTTATAAGCTGCCTAGATGAAAAAAAAAAAATCAACAGTATTTTGCGCTCAAGGTGAGCACAAGGTCTTTATAAATTCATGTGAAAAAGCGCATTGTAAAAGAACATGAAACTTCTCTTCACATCCACCACCTTTTTGTGACAGCCCTTAAAACTCCATTTGAGCACAACAGTTGGAGTGGCCAGGTAAGGGCAGAAATTACAGTACTATAGACACACTCAATAGGGACAATGAAGACCACCAACTCACTCAACATTAGACATCTGTTACACAGCCAGAACTTTTGCTTGCTACCAACCTGGTCTGAATTCGAACTAGTGAAGAAAGGTTCAGTATCTCACTACAATCCCCTGAGCCATCTAGTCACCCCAAATTTATTAATTTTAAGCTTACCCCTGGACGAGGATGATCTTTCATTCTGGAACCTAAAATAATTACAAAAAAGTGACCAGGCAGATGAGGAAATGTCATGATCAATCAAAAATATCTACTAATAAAACTTGGATCAGAGTACCAACCACAAAATTGAAGCTTCCCCTATCCAAAACTACTTAATATGGTGATCTGCAAATTCTTAAAATCTTCTAAGCACTCTTCTGTTTAGGAACCGAATAATCTTATCACATTCGGTCTGTGAATTGTCTCACTCATGCATTCAGCTCTAAAAATGAATTATGCTCCACACTATTCGTTGTGCGTATTTTGGTGTGCTGGAATCTACCCCAACAGTCACATTTGACTTCTTCAGCCAGAATAATCAAACTATAAATGCAATATTTATGCAGATCATTAGCATACAGCATCACAGTTGTATATACAAGTAGTCTAAAGTCAATAAAACACACTTTTATCATTGTTAAACGGCTTGCTTCACCTCTGTCACATTTTTGACTGATCTTCATCTACCTCAGATATCAAATATTCAGCATTCTGCCTTAATTTCTCTTTAATGGAAATCCTCCCTGTCCCAAGGTCTATTATTTCTGACCATGCTCCCACATGGCGTGCAGATACTAAAACTGGAAGACTGCATAGTTCAGCGCAGACTAAGGACAGCGCTGACTGTACACACATACACATCAGCTTGCGTCTAGAAGCAATACATCCTCAGTTGGATGGTTCTGTGTCCAAACTAACAAGCTGTTTGAAGAGCCTTCGTGCACAGCTTGAAACAAATAAAGTCACTCTGCTCTCAGACCCAAGCTGTGAAGTCCACATAATGTTATGCTGTGGTGTGGCAGCTTAGACATGTTTGCACCACATTGCAATCACATAGCATTGCTTGGTTTTTTTGCTTATTTAGCAGGCCTGACTGGCTTTTATACCTTTAAATCTCTCCTCTTTTTGAGATCTAGTGAACAGACCAGTTTCTGAAACAAAGTATTGCTATCATCTGCTTCTGGCTTTTAAAATAAAGCACAAGAAAAAATATGATTCATTAAAATGAAAGGTGTGCATTCAAATTGCTCTTATTTTAACCTACCTCTAAGCAGTGGAAAATCACTAGGCAGATTTTGCTTCTTTAAATTCATACTCTGATAAGCTTTTGTGTGCACCATCTCGTATCTCACCCTATAGAATCCTTTTTGCTCTCTCTGTTATAAGCTTCAGCTAGCCAACTGTGTAAATGCAGAGCTTAAACAGCAACATCTGTCCTACAGTTGAAACACTTAAGAAAAGTGGTTGTGTTGATCTCTAGACAGTTTACTATAATAAACTGTGAATTTGTTTACTCACGATTCCCCGCAGGCTCTATGAAACAAAGTCAATATATAGACAACTTTTCAGTAATTTTTTAAACTATGTAATAGTAAAATCACACCTTATGTTCAAATAAGCTATGTCTACCTCTGAAAAGTACAATGGAGAAAATTGCTCTTCTGAATAATTTAAGTGTTAAAAAAAATAACGCAGAACATTAGGTGGTACTTACCCATAATAAACACGTAAGCCAGACTAAGCAAATTTGCAATAGCCATAATAGCTAAGCCAGCAATCATAACAGACCCATGTAACGGAGGACAGGCTGTTAAAAACATGGTAAAAGAAACTGTATCATCTGACACAAATAAAAGCACAAAGTTCTATTTTTGGATATAACTGAATACTAAAATAAATAAGCCTGATCAAAACCAGACGCAATTAATTTCTCTTTCAAAGCTGTCCCAGAACTACTTCTGCATCTTTCTTCTTCTGTACACATCCTTTAATGATAGAGGCATTTACTGATTTATCCTGCTTAGCTGTACTACGCTACTACAGTTTAGCTATTCTACTGTCATTCACAGCAATTGACAACATTCTTTCATTAACTGTATTTTAAATTTAAACTTACATCTTCAATCCCAATTATTTGAACTATAATTGCGTTAGATTACAGAATACAATACTGCTACTGATAAAACAGGATAAAAAAGGAGAAGAAGGGAGAAGAATAGAAGGGTAGCTCTGAGGCAAATCTGCCACATAACAGAAATGCTCCATGTTTACAGGGGTATCGCAGAGCAGGAACTGGCTATTACAATCTAACCATAGTTCACTATAGAAACTCCTTGTTCTTTGATCCTTGTTTCCAGGGACTTGAAGTCATTGCAATTACCTGAGAGCTCAACCTAGGATGAGCTATTTCTACTGACGCTTAAGGGTCATTGAGCTAAACTTCCAAAGATACAGATAACGTCTACCTTATCCGACTCGTGAAAAGGTCACCCTGAAAAACTAGGGAGACTTTCCACTTGAGAGCATAATAAAAACATCCTCCATTTTGTGTTCCTCTAGAGGATTAATGCTTTACCAGAAATCTCCCATCAGTTTATTTTACTATTACATTTGACAACACTTAGGTGCCCCTTACAAATCCTTCTGTAAATACCAAACAATAAGCATAAAACTCAATTCACAATTCCGCTGAAAGGTCTATCATTTCACCCAGATTAGACAAGCCTTCAGAAACTACTTCAAGGAAAATTAGTTTCTCTTAAATCCCCAACCAACCAAACGATTAAAATTAAGAATGTCTCTAAGAAACAATAAATCAGGAGTATAAAGTGCTTTCAATGAACATGAGTATGTATTCTACTACTATATATACTACACCAAGGATGCCTAGTCCTAAATTCATCCTTTTCTCTGCTGGGAGGTTTTCTGCTGGGGGCAGGCAGTCAGGGGACACAGAGAGGGTTAGAGGCAGGGATGAGGGGTATCACTGTGGGCATGCAGGGTTTTAGTTGGCGTTCCTTTACAACAGAGACTGTTTTCCAGTGCTGAAACAGAATGCCAGCCACAATCAGACTTAAGACAGACCAAGAACGCTTCAAGTTTACTGTCTCTGCATTTGCCTTCTGAGGCTGTTTCAATGGTATTTGTTTCCCAGCGGCTCAGTTGCCAGTTGCATACAAGCGGAGATTAACAAGGAACTTCTGATCTCGTCACTGAACATGAGAAAAGTGTAATGACTCTGGTGTAGTTTCTAAATACCCTACGACTCAGTAAGAATAACAGTAATAAAGGTCAGTGCTGGTTTTAGGTGACTTTAGAGCACTAATAGTTGCAAAATCAAAACAATTAATGTTTGTTGGTTTTTTAAAGCAACTATCATAGAACATAGCCATGCTGTATATAGTTGAACTAGGGAGATTTGTAGGGAGATGGGGGTCCGTCTCTTCTCCCACGTTATGAATAACAGGATGAGAGGGAATGGCCTCAAGTTGCACCAGGGGAAATTTAGGTTAGATATCAGGAAAAATTTCTTTACAGAGAGGGTTGTGAAGTATTGGAACAGGCTGCTCAGGGAGGTAGTGGAGTCCCCATCCCTGGAGGTGTTTAAAAACTGTGTGCATTTGGTGTTGAGCAACATGGTTTAGGGACCCTGACAGTGCAGGGTGAATGATAGGACTTGATGATCTTGATGGTCTCTTCCAACCAGATGATTCTATGATACTAATGAAACTAATATATGTAATACTACCCTTGGGCTGTTCTTCTTGCACCAGATAAAAGACCATTAACACAGTAGTCCTGAAGTACGTTCACAGAAGTTCCTTGCTAACACTCAACGTAGGGAAGCCATTTTCACAGCATTTTAGTGTTGGAAACAAACAAACAAACATCCAAACATATGGACTAAATAAAGTAAAAAGACACTTTTACAGAAGATAAATTGCTCACCTGAGACACAGAGTGCAAAACCAACCACAGCAATTATATAACCAAGAACTTGCAAACCTATCAGAGCAAGTGTTGCTTGTGAGAGACTATCGAAAACTGGGAAAGACAGAAAGAGAAACAAAATTGTAACTTTTAAAGATTAACTAAAGAGATACAAAAGGTAGGTCATTCAGATAAAGCCAGAAATCAGATTCTCCTAAATTTCAAGCTCAGCTAGCCAGTGTGGTAACAAAACTCACAAGTCACTGCAAGTCACTCAGGGCTCTTGTATGTATATATATCTACACACACACACGTATATAAAAATATATGTAAATAAAATTATAAATAAACCATAAGTTGAAAAAATTAAACACATACATTCTCACA